CCGGTGCGCTAGATAATCGAGACTTGCATGTATTCAAACATTGGCTGATAGTTTAAGACGGTAATGAATACTAGGGATGAATATGGAGGCTCTACTAGTCTATTGTCATACTAGTCTAACCGTTGCGAGTGTGTGTAGGCCCGCTGGGCTCGCTTGCTTCTTGGTCGACGGATTGTTTATTAAATTATAGCTACTATTAGCTAGTACATCATGCCGTCGATGCCTTAAGTCCTTTTGGTACTTGGGGGGAGTGGGCCAATGCTGTGCATGGCTGGTTACGAGTCCTGAGCTGGGCATAAGATACTCCCTATTTTACACTGTATATCATAGAGCTGACACAAATATTCCTATCTTTCTTGAAGTATCATTTGAATTTCACTAGACCGCTCGGGATCATCTTGTATATTCCTTGATTTGCTATAGAGCTCTGAATATATTATGGATTTCCCGCATTTTTCACAATTTTTCTGGCCCTTCTACAGCCTGCAATCAATTCCAGATACCAATGATGTAATGGCTCTGCAGATCGGGTGAACCTGCAGAGAGCCTATGTCATAGAAGGCAGGAGCCAATCAGAGTCCAGGAATCCAAACCGACGCGGCCCGCACCTCAGCCACTGACTACAAGCCACTACAATAGTCAATTCCCACGATAAGCAATAAAAGTAAAACCGCCATGCGGACTAGGACAAGACACACAATTGCCAAATTCACCAAAATATTGTTGTAGACCCGTATAGCATACGCCCAGGACTAGAAAAAATAAAAGAGAGATAAGACAAAGAATTGAGCCCGCAAATGAGCAAACAATGGTCCCAGAGACTACAAAAATGCGCCAAAAGTCGTTTTGTAGTCTCACATACAACCGGACTTCCAAACGGAGTTTCAACAATGTAGTCTTCAATACAAAACATAACTTCCACGACTTCTCGGCACAAACAGGTCTCACGGGGTACAGCGTTCGGCACGCAGGCATATTTTGCGCGTAAGGACTCGACCTTCGTACCTCAGGACTCGTAACAAGAGGTCGGATACTTTTCGGGTAAAATGCATCCCAATATGGTAATTTTGGTTTCGGTAAAAATGAGGGGAAAGTTAGTATCTGGTATCAGACCTCTATGGGTATTACGAGTCCTGAGTTTATGAAGGATGAGTCCTTACCCACAAAAGAGGGTGCGTGCCGAACGTTGCACCCCGTGGGAATCGCAATGCCGAGAATGCGTGCGACCTTTTGGTTGTAGTCTTACAGCGAGTTTCATAAATATGCGGAATCGCCGCAACTTTTCTTTTGCGCGCCTTGCACGAGGCAGGTCTCCTGAATGCCTTCGATGTCTATACGATCTTTATCCACTGATGTCATTAATCCCTCCTGATGACAGGGAAACACCCAAGACCGCCTGAAGACTTGTAGTCCGAGACATCCGCGGGACGTATGATACGTCTCCCTGCCCCTTCAGGCAATTCCTCGCCCTAATCGGGCAACACTATGTCAACACGTGAAGCCATTTCACGCTTTGACCATCGCCGAAGCCTGTTCTACTTAGTCAGACCTCAAGAGCAAAATTGAAGCAATTCCGCATACTTATGAAACTCGCTGTAACTACACTGTTTAATGTCCGCTTTACAGTCTGCTTGTATTGGAGACTACAAAAAGACTACAAAATCGGATTTGTAGTCTCTGTTTGCAATCACACTGTGTTTTCGTCTTGAGTTGTTCATGTATTTTCGTAGTTTCTTCTACAAAGAGGTTTTTTTGGGTTATCCGTCTACTGGAATATTTTGAGCATTTAATCCTATCTCCTTCCTTTACTGCATGCTCTTGGTCATGTGTGGCATCTTGTTACCGTGGGAATTGACTTCTGTGGCTGTTTGTAGTCGGTGGCTGAGTGTGCCGCACCAGTTGGGATCTCTGGCTTCTCATTGGCTTCTGCTTACTATGACATAGCTTGACTGCAGAAAGCGCATTTCTGTAGTTGAGTGATGTCATAGTCTAGTACTTGCAGCAGTTGAAGCATGTCAACTTGGTGGGCTGTGCTTCCTTTTAATCCAATCATTACTGGTACATA